GAATTATGAACATTAGATGAATAATAAAACACATTGTGAATACGATGCAAAATGATTATCTAGATCGTCAGGATTACTTAAATGAGCTGGAATTGAGGTTTTACGTCGCGACCACACACTTAAGTATTTTAACGCATTCCAAGTACCTTTAATGCCGCTATTACTAGCGTAAATCATGAAAATTTCTTTTTCACGCCTAGCAGCAGCCAAAGTATAGTTCCTCAACTCCTTATATCTAGCATAGCCTGTTTGCTTCTTTTGAATTTTTACAAGGCCCTATCGCGCTCTTCTTGCAATAGCCTAAGATTGTTGGTAAGCCAAGGTGCGGGTCGCTTAGTTACTCTCTTCTCAGTACTAGGTGCACGGACATCGAACACAGCTAATATGAAAGAAGTGAACATATCTATACTAAGTGACATATAAATCCGAACACCCAGTTTAAATGGTTTTATTTTAATAAAAGTAAGTGAATGTATTTATCTTACTGTAAATAACAAGTGAAAAAATGTTCAGCCTTATCAGTTGGACATTCCGGTTTTTATACTGCTTTTTTTTAATTCACTAACGCTCTAAAAATGAATATTTCAGCCGCAGTAAAGAATCAACGTTGGCGGATTTTGGTTCTTGACATCCTTTACGATCGGTTACGATGCCTAGAGTACGGAGACCTGCACGATTTCGTCAACTTAGTGAGTTTGATAGGGGCCGTATAGTGGGACTTCGGGAAGCTGGACCTTCTTTTCGGGCAATTGCAGTAAGAGTGCAAAGAAGTGTAGACACTGTGGTTAGGTGCTGTCAGGCATGGCTTCGAGAAGGCCGTACGCAAAGAGCAAGGGGCACTGGACGCCGCCGTAGAACAACAGACCGTGAAGATCGCCGCCTACGATTATTGGCCTTAAGGGACCGTTTCTCCACTACCAGGTCCATTGCAAATGAATGGTTTGCAGAACACGGAAGACCTATTGGCATGCGAAGTGTTTACCGACGAATGAGAAGTTTTTGCTTGTTTTCATACCGGCCACACTGGGTCCTCCCTTTAACTCGAGAACACCGACGTAATCGCCTTGAGTGGTGCAGACAACGGTCACTCTGGGATCAGGAATGGAACAGTATTGTCTTTAGTGACGAGTCTCGATTTTGTTTAGGCATGCACGACGGTCGTGCCAGGGTTAGAAGGCGACGTGGTGAAAGGAGGAATCCACAGTTTTTTGTTGAAAGACATGTTCATCACACTGTTGGAGTTATGGTTTGGGGTGCTATAGCTTATGGTTCCAGGTCACCTTTAATCTTCATCAGAGGTAACATGAACGCGCAGCGTTATATCCACGAAGTTCTAGAACCGCATCTTTTATCCTATCTTGACACCCTGGCAGATCCAACTTTCCAACAAGATAATGCCCGACCACATGTTGCAAGAGTCACAATAGACTTCTTTCAACATAATGATGTCATATTGTTACCATGGCCACCAAGATCTCCCGACTTATCCCCAATTGAGCACGTGTGGGATATGATGGGTAGGAGATTGCTCAATTTGCAACGTCCTCCTCAGACTCTAGAAGCACTTCGAGAGGAGTTGGTGGTTGCCTGGAATGAGATACCACAGGAGGACATTGACCACCTGATCAGAAGCATGCCTAGGCGCGTTGGAGAATGCGTAGCACATCAGGGTGCATCCACACATTATTAAAAGTCAAAGGGCTTTAAAGCAGTGCAATCAATTTGAAATTTTTATCATTTACTTATAATGCTTCGTTAAGTACTTATACAAAATTTTATTAAAATAAAATCATTTAAACTGGGTGTTCGGATTTATATGTCACTTAGTATATTTTAGCGTCAATGTCTTCAGTTCTGATTAATTCAAACCATCAGAAAGATGTCGAAATTTAAATGTTCGAAATGACGATATTTAACTATTTTCACATGATCATTGTTAGATAATAGGAAAGCAGATTTCCAGCAAAATCATATCATGATCTGAAACAGATATTGTACCCGACCGTATAAACACACTATACACATAACGTGAAAAATAGATAAAATGTCATCTGTGACGGTTGTCATTCGTGACATTGTGGTTAATTATATGTTTCAACTACGCATATATTTTCGTCCAAGTGCACTGTTCATACCTAATAAGCAAGATGTCTCCAGATTTGACGTGTTCCAAACTGAAGAAGCCCAAAATGCATGCGCTGTTGAGAGCCCAGACAGGAAAAGGACTTGTACTCACCTTTATCTCGGTTCTTACAGTAGGAATCTTGTTCCATATCTCGTTTGTGAAGAGACGCAGGGATGCGTATAGGAATTTCTACGCGAAGTACGACATTGAGAAGGAGTTTGAGAGGATGAGGTCCAAGAACTTGTTTGACTCATGCTGATTTCTGTTATACGAGTAGATAAGAAAGCTTTTGATAATAAAAACGTTGGAAATATTTAGGGCTTTCAGTTGAAAACTTTCCACCACAGATTTATCGAAAACTATTGATTCAAGGAAAAAACGTCGATACGTCAAAAAATTTGTCAAGAGGGACTTTTCCTCCTTTCGCTCTCTGCCCCCAGGATCACGCCTTATTATAGATTTGGGTTAGAATTTAACAAGATAATTGTACGTTGACCTACAAAAAATAAATATTGTTCGATTCTGACAGATTTGTAATAATCTCCAACGTGTTTTATTATGTCCTACCATATGTTTTACCACTGGTGGTACACATTGATACAAATGCAGTCCAAAGAAATTTTAATTTTTTTTCTTTAGTTTCTTTTATTTTCTTATTATTACATATTGGATCTTATTCGCAATTGAGTAAGGTAAAATACACACGGAATGATTTTGTTAAAAAACAAGTAATCAAGGTTTGTCCGTGGATTTTTCAGAAATTGTGTCATTGTGTACCACTCTCCCCTACATCCGTGGTGGGAAGTTTTTTTAATTATATTCCTTGTATGTACTGAAGCTTTGCAGATGGGTGGCTGACTTCCTCTCTGGCCTCTCCGTCTTCATCCCTCGTGTCAAGACGGGTGTTCCCCACGACCTCCTTTCCTATACGATCAATCCGATCCGCGGGTTTGCTGACGACAGCGCTTTACATGCAGGAATTCCGAGTCGCAAACCGATCTCTGCTCTACTTTGGTCGTTCGAAAAGCCTGGATACGCCAATGGTTCAACAGTACTATTGTTTCTGGATAGAACACGCCACACCGAGTGGACACTAATAGATCTGCGCGTCCCATCCAGTAATTGCATCTGAAACGACGCGACGCTTCCATTATTTTAATGCCGCGCGCTTGTTTTAATAGAATCGCTCGCCGCTGCTGCGTCGGCTTTTTACTTCCTTTTACCGGAACTCTTTTTCTTTTAGATGGTGATTTAGTTTGAATGTCGTATTTTGCATTTAAGGCGCCACTAAGCATTAAAAAATACGGCTGCAAAAATATTAATTTCAATTAGGAAGTAATTGTCGTTGCAACTACGTCACGGTGCTGCAATTCCTTCTATACAGGGTGATTCGTAAGTCGCGACCGAAAATGAAACATCATAACACAGGGCCACACTTTAAGGAGGGATCTTCTATGTAACATTTTTTGCTTCTTGAAGTTTGAAAGTAAAAAAAACATGTTTTTTAATACCTTCAAAACCGTCAACTGGAATTTGGGGAAAGAAGTCTATTGTGACTCTTGCAACATGTGGTCGGGCATTATCTTGTTGGAAAGTTGGATCTGCCAGGGTGTCAAGATAGGGTAAAAGATGGGGTTCTAGAACTTCGTGGATATAACGCTGCGCGTTCATGTTACCTCTGATGAAGATTAAAGGTGACCTGGAACCATAAGCTATAGCACCCCAAACCATAACTCCAACAGTGTGATGAACATGTCTTTCAACAAAAAACTGTGGATTCCTCCTTTCATCACGTCGCCTTCTAACCCTGGCACGACCATCGTGCATGCCTAAACAAAATCGAGACTCGCCACTAAAGACAATACTGTTCCATTCCTGATCCCAGAGTGACCGTTGTCTGCACCACTCAAGGCGATTACGTCGGTGTTCTCGAGTTAAAGGGAGGACCCAGTGTGGCCGGTATGAAAACAAGCCAAAACTTCTCATTCGTCGGTAAACACTTCGCATGCCAATAGGTCTTCCGTGTTCTACAAACCATTCATTTGCAATGGACCTGGTAGTGGAGAAACGGTCCCTTAAGGCCAATAATCTTAGGCGGCGATCTTCACGGTCTGTTGTTCTACGGCGGCGTCCAGTGCCCCTTGCTCTTTGCGTACGGCCTTCTCGAAGCCATGCCTGACAATACCTAACCACGGTATCTACACTTCTTTGCACTTTAACTGCAATTGCCCGAAAAGAAATTCCAGCTTCCCGAAGTCCCACTATACGGCCCCTATCAAACTCACTAAGTTGACGAAATTGTTCAGGTCTCCGTACTCTAGGCATCGAAACTTTCCACAACTCAGCCATTATCTTGTTTGGTACTTTCATGAATTTTCATTTTTGCTTATACAGGGTGGTCAAAAACGCGAATTGTACTTTTTTTCACAAATTTTAAATGCATCACCCTGTATATTTGTGCAAGTTTAGATTCAAATTTTTATAAGTTTTTTTTTTGATGCTAGACACATAAGGGTTTTGTTTTTACGGCCATTTTTTCGGTTATTAGCATGTTTTTTATGGAAAGGCTTAATTCCCTAAAAAATCCAAGTGTCACCAATGAGGCGAATCGGTTGGAGGTTCTATGAAAGTTGCAGGAAAATCCCCATTTAAGTGCACGACAAATTGGAACAGAAACTGATATCTGCAGGACATCACACCAAATAAAAGTCATGTTATCTTTTTCACACCGACTATATGTTCAAATATGTCCAATACGAAATGAAAGACAAGCTTAAACCCCGTTTTATATGATTCTCGGACCAATGTTTTCTTTTATTTTAACATGCTAGATCTCCGGCGTCAGCATTATGTAACACATGATTTCCTTTTGCAGAAGACGTACTGCAGACCCCCGAAGCCCTGTGGAGTTCTCCGGACGGGTCTCACCTTCTCTACGCGACCTTCAATGATAGCGAGGTCGGCATTCTAAACTTTCCGTGGTTTCACACGGGAGCCGTTTTGGGCTCAACCAAGACTGAAAATAGAGGAGCGTCGTCGTTTCCCGGCTCCAGGACTGTCAGATATCCAACGGTAAGCATACACGTGTTCCTCGAACAGGCTTCTTTATGCTCTCGGGCCGTAAAGTATGCTCATCAATACAGTCAACTTATTTATTTCTGTGCAGGGCGTTTCTTTCTTAAGAGGAAATAGTGGAAAGTGTAGGTAGTATATACTAAGTCCTTTTCACATCTAAATATAAATTTATTTTTTATGGATATACAGTGTGATTTTTCTAAACATGCTAAATATTTAATTTCATATATCTCAGGTACCTGGTTGTTTCGTTACAAACATTTTGTTTTAATCAATTGTTTTAAACATGTTTTAAACATTCGCTTAGGTTTAAAACACTTAAATTAAACAAGCGTTTTTTTTCTTCATTGTCTTTATTAATATCATAAATAAAAATAGGAAATGTTCTCAAATACTTTTCAACATAAATGTTATTCATTTATTAATATACTAAGTGACATATAAATCCGAACACCCAGTTTAAATGGTTTTATTTTAATAAAAGTTGGTGAACGTATTTATCTTACTGTAAGTAACAAGTGAAAAAATTTTCAGCCTTATCAGTTGGACATTCCGGTTTTTATACTGCTTTTTTTTAATTCACCAACGCTCTAAAAATGAATATTTCAGCCGCAGTAAAGAATCAACGTTGGCGGATTTTGGTTCTTGACATCCTTTACGATCGGTTACGATGCCTAGATTACGGAGACCTGTACGATTTCGTCAACTTAGTGAGTTTGATAGGGACCCTATAGTGGGACTTCGGGAAGCTGGACTTTCTTTTCGGGCAATTGCAGTTAGAGTGCAAAGAAGTGTAGACACTGTGGTTAGGTGTTATCAGGCATGGCTTCGAGAAGGCCCTACGCAAAGAGCAAGGGGCACTGGACGCCGCCGTAGAACAACAGACCGTGAAGATCGCCGCCTAAGATTATTGGCCTTAAGGGACCGTTTCTCCAATACCAGGTCCATTGCAAATGAATGGTTTGCAGAACACGGAAGACCTATTGGCATGCGAAGTGTTTACCGACGAATGAGAAGTTTTGGCTTATTTTCATACCGGCCACACTGGGTCCTCCCTTTAACTCGAGAACACCGACGTAATCGCCTTGAGTGGTACAGACAACGGTCACTCTGGGATCAGGAATGTAACAGTATTGTCTTTAGTGACGAGTCTCGATTTTGTTTAGGCATGCACGATGGTCGTGCCAGGGCTAGAAAGCGACGTGGTGAAAGGAGGAATCCACAGTTTTTTGTTGAAAGACATGTTCATCACACTGTTGGAGTTATGGTTTGGGGTGCTATAGCTTATGGTTTTAGGTCACCTTTAATCTTCATCAGAGGTAACATGAACGCGCAGCGTTATATCCACGAAGTTCTATAACCCCATATTTTACCCTATCTTGACACCCTGGCAGATCCAACTTTCCACCAAGATAATGCCCGACCACATGTTGCAAGAGTCACAATAGACTTCTTTCAACATAATCAAGTCACATTGTTACCATGGCCACCAAGATCTCCCGACTTATCCCCAATTGAGCACGTGTGGGATATGATGGGTAGGAGATTGCTCAATTTGCAACGTCCTCCTCAGACTCTAGAAGCACTTCGAGAGGAGTTGGTGGTTGCCTGGAATGAGATACCACAGGAGGACATTGACCACCTGATCAGAAGCATGCCTAGGCGCGTTGGAGAATGCGTAGCACATCAGGGTGCATCCACACATTATTAAAGGTCAAAGGGCTTTAAAGCAGTGCAATAATTGTGAAATTTTTATCATTTACTTATTATGCTTCATTAAGTACTTATACAAAATTTTGTTAAAATAAAACCATTTAAACTGGGTGTTCGGATTTATATGTCACTGTGTGGCCAATAGTTCCTCATTGCAATAGGTTTTTGTTATTTCGGGGATTCACCGGCACAGCCTAACGGCGGCGTGGCGCGACGTAGTTCGTAACAGCTGATCGCGACAGTTTAGTACAGAGTCGGACTTTAAATAAGGTACATATTATTTAGTAGAATAATAGGTCGAATATTTTCAATTATTATTATGAGGAAATATGATTTTAACAATTTTTTTTCTGTTTTATTTGTTTAAAACATAAAATTTAAAAACAAAAAACATGTTTAAAACAAAAAAAGACGTTTAAAACAAAAAAAGATGCGTTTTGTATAGAATAAAAAAAATACATGTTTTTTTCAACCCTGCTCAGGTATCAATAAACCGATTTTGATTAGATTTTGCACAACAAAGCTACCCAGGAATAACATAAGACTAGTTGGAGAGTTAAAAAGTCCAAATCCAGACTTTTTTTAAAAATGTTTTATTTTCTCTAAAAGAACACCTTTTATGCTGAATATTGAAATAGTTGACTATGTACTTATTAATTAATAAAATAGATTAATTGCGCCTCTTTTGATTTTTCAGCTAAATTTTCTTTTCTGATATCAGTTGGTAGACTTATATCATTAGAAAAATTACCGATAGAATCAAATCGGGGCCATACCATTCATTTTTCTTTTTAGTTCATCTATTGTTCTTTTGTTATAAAATACAAAGAAATGAAAAAAGTCAGTCTCGGGTCCTGGAATTTTGAGTTCTCAAAAAATCTTTAAATCAATTCTAAGCTGTATTTTGTAAACTTTTGCTAAAATAAACATGGTGAGGTTTCACATTTTGAGTTTTGCTCACAATAATTGATAGAAGTAAGATAGTTGAATAAATGAATATGTTTAACTAAAAAACGAAAAGAGGTGCAATAAATCTATTTTGTTAATTAATAAGAACCTTTTATTGCCTTTCTGTACAAAGAATGGTGATTATTAATTAATAAAATATATAGATTGTGCCCCTTTTGGTTTCTCAGCTAAATTTATCAGTTGGTGGTATCAAAATTATTAAAAAAATTCTGACAAAGCTAAATAGGGCTCAAACATTAATTTTGCTTTTCAATTATATCGTCTATTGTTCTTTTGTTCGCGAAATAATAATAAATTAATAAGTTACAGGACGGTGAACTTGATTACATACAAAGAAATGAAAAAGACTGAATCCGGCCCTGGAATTTGGAATTTCCAAAATGTTTGTAAAATTTTGTTGAAATAAAGTCGGTCAATCGAGAAGAGGAAGCTTTTTCCAGTTCTACTAACCTTGGGCAGTTCAAAAATCGTATTAGCAAAATTTCTTTGGGATCATCATAGCAGCCACGGTTTTCCGGCATTTAGGTTTCTGCCTGCGCGGCTGCTTGGATATAAAAAGCATCAGTCATTGCTTTTTTATACATACTCAAATATTTCAGTATTCAGCTTAAAAGGTGTTGATTCTGATAAAATACAGAAGGTTGAGATAATCAAGTCCAGCCCTGGATTTTTCATTACCATCCGACTTGATTTACGTTACCCCCAGTTAGTTCTGTTGTTGATCCAAATTTCATTAAAATCTGTTTAAATAGTACCTAAAACGTGTGGTAATGAAGATTTGACGTGTTTAATATATCCGTAAAAAATAAATTTAGACCCTTTTATTTCCAGATATGAAAAGTCTCAGTCCATACTACCTGCTGTTTCACCATATCCCTTTTAGTCCACAACAACGCCCTAGATACATGAATAACTACTAAGTTCCTCAATATATATATCCTTTAATTTCTTTGTGTAGAAGGCAAATTATTGCAAAAGTACACTCTTATAACTCAAACCCTCAAGCTTTCGAAGATCTATGTCTTCATCGTTTGGAGCTGGAAACAATTATTAACAATAGCAACAAATAGGAATTAGGAGAAAAATATTTACTTACTAAGTCGGCGAGATTCTTACTGAAATTGTTTTTAAAACAACAGTGGAGGGAATACATAGTCGACGAATAAAAAACTGGACTGATGAGGTTCGATTAGGACGGAATTATTTTAATATTAAATGGCAAATCATTTTGAAAGGTTTTTCTTAAATAAGCGTTGATTGATTTTGGAAGAAATTTGAAGATTTTAAAACTATCAACTATTGAAAATTTCATCTTTTTTTTTCACTGATAACCTCCACATTATCCAAAACGTGCCGGCCGACTGACATTCTACAGCGGCGTATGAAGTGTGACATTGAAAATTATTGGAAGGTCACCGATTATGTCGTTCTGTCAAGTGTGTTGCCTAATAGTATGGCGTTTTGTAATATATAGTGCAAGAGGCTGAGCTATTGTTGACCGATGAAGTACGAAGAAATTTTCAAAACCCGATAGAAGTTGCATTGGAAGGAGTGTGATTAGGATGTCATCCTACCAAACAACTAAAAAATCCGTAGGGAATATTCACACTTGAGGACAGACGATGAAGACATAGATCTTCGAAAGCTTGAGAGTTTAAGTTATAAGAGTGTACTCTTGCAATCCGTTGCCTTCTACCCAAAGAAATTAAAGGATATCTTCTCCTAACAGTTAAGGCAACTAACTATGAATACTATATAGGTATATATACAGGGTGTCCGCAAAGTTGAGGTTTTCCTTTTCAGAAACAACAACCCTTGAAATAACAAAGGTAATGTGTAGTGAAACGAGGGCGACCAAGTAAAAAAAAATAAAGGAAAACGTACTCACTCTCCAGTTGACGAGCAGGGCTAAGTACGTCTCTGCCCGAAATCATACCGCTCCAACAGAAAATGAAATCAGCTGATGCGCTACCGAGCAGACGCAGGCAAACAAGGAAGGCAAAATGTTGCGTAAAGAGTCTAGGTATTGCATCCCGTCCAATCGATTTGGGAGAATAAATGGTCCAATGAGCATACCGTTCACCATGCCAGCCCAAACAATCACCGAAAATGTTTGTTGAAAATGTGCCCGACGGACAGCGTGCGGATTTTCTACTGACCAAACATGAGTGTTGCGAAAGTTATTCACCCCATTACGCGTGAAGGTAGATTCGTCTGTCACCAATATGCACTTCAAAAAGTCCAGATTATTGTCATGTTGATGCAACAACCACTCACAAAACCGCACTCTTGCTGGAAAATCGTCAGGTTGAAGGGCTTGTACACGTTGGACGTGAAACGGATACAGCTCCTCTTCACGCAGCGTTTGCCACACTTTAGTTTTTGATACTTGCACTTCTCTAGCCACGTCTCTAGTGTTTGTTGAGGGATTCTCGTCTACGCGATTACCTCTACACGCGTGACCGTAACCGTCGGTTGAAGGTTGCATACTGACCTGACACACTGACCCCGACCCAGTTCTGTCGTCGGGTTGAGCTAGTGTCCTAGTACCACTCGGGGATGTCGCGGCTACAGGACGGTATTCAGATATTTTTGATGTTGCAGAGCCCTTTATCTCGGTTCCCTTAAGACATTGGTGTATATGGTACTAAGAAAAATTGCTTATGTTTTCAAGATCTACACGTCGTGTAAAGGAAAACCCCAACTTTGCGGACACCCTGTATAATAGTTGTAATCGTTGCTGATATTGATTGCTGCAAAATGTTTAGTAACAAAAATCTTTTTTCCAGCCTGGATCCGCTATTCCCGTGGTTCAGTTGTGGGTAGTGGATATTTCTAACCTTACTAACCTTGAACACCATCCTGTGATGCCTCCTAAAGCCTTAATTGGACAGTAAGTACTATATTCTAGTAGGTCATAGTAATTTATTAAATGCTTTCGTAGGCACTGGTATTTCCGAAACCAGTGCTCCGTAAAGAGGGACCAAAAATGTACGTAGTATTTGAATTAAGTTCGAAACAATTTTTTCTATTCAATCATAAAGCGCACGTGGACAACAACCTTTACCCTACAAAGCGCATAATTGCGATACCTGAAAAAACACAAAATTGCAACGATACCAGAAAAGAAGCATCAGTCTATTAAATTTAGACGTAAAAGTAGAAAATGGAGGAGTTAAAATCACAGTGGAAGAAAACTATCAGGATCAATTAAAAAATGAGCAGGAAGATAAATTTGAAAAAAATATAATTACCTGAACCAAAGCTGATCTCAAAATCTACTAAACAACAAGTTAAAGAAGAAATTACGTCAAAAAACTATTTTATTGAGATAACGATATTACTTTTGTGAAACATACTGACTGACAAAAAAGGTAAACACCTGTTTATCCGATTTGAATAATTTTTGACATATATGTTCAGTGTCCCTTGCTAGTAAAATGACTGAATTTTCAGCTTGATTCGTCAACTGACTGCAGAAGCTGGTTCAATAATGGGTTAAGGATCCAGGATTTCTTATACAGGGTTATCCAAATTAAGTGTCCACCATTAGTAACTTTGTTATTAGTGAAAATACAAAGTTGTTTGAATTAGCAAACTAGTAGCATTTTTAACGCTGGTAAAAATGAGAAATAAAAAAAACAATTGAGAGTCGTTATTTTGATTTTTTTCAGTAAAATAACATTTTTTTTAAATGGAAACCCCTGTATATTATATTTTTTTCTGTTAAAGCATCAAATTTTAAACAAAAAAGCTTACAATAACTTTTCTCCTAGGTTACAAATTGTTGAAGTTATGGCCTCCAATCTGAAACAATTAAATTGTATCGACAAACTTTATTTTCAACATCAACTTATAATCTTACAAAATACAATAACAATTTTTTTTAAAGAAGATGCTCGAAAACACCACCTTGTTCTTCAATACATTTTTGGGCACGTTTTTTAACTGCTCGAACTGTCTTAAGTATGGTCCTACCATCTATCTGGGTTATCTTTTCCCTAACTGCAGTCTTTAACGCGTCAAGGTTATCGTACCTTCGCTTGTAAATTTGGTTCTTTAAGTAACCCCACAAGAAGTAATCAAGTGGGTTTAGATCTGGTGATCTGGGAGGCCACTGTATTGGGCCATTTGTTCCTATCCACTGATCATTAAAAGTAGTACTTAGAAAATGATAAGTACCTCTGGAGTTGTGGGCAGGTGCGCCATCTTGCTGAAAATGCAGATGATGTCTACTTATAAGATCCAATTCGTCTAAGAAATTAGTCAGAATTTCTGACATAAATTCCACATATCGTTCACCAGTTAGGGTTCCCTCATAAAAGAACGGGCCAACAATTTTTGAACCAATTATACCGCACCAAACGTTGAAACTGAAACGGACTTGTGGGCCTCTGGGATGTACTAACAAAAGATTTTCTCTTGACCAATAATGGTGGTTTTTTCTATTAAACATTCCAGAATTTGAAAATTTTGATTCATCTGTCCATAAGAGGTAACGAAAGTTATTTACATTTTGGCGACAGAAGCTAAGATACCAATGGCAAAAAACAAGTCTTCTCTCTGGATCCCCTGCCAAAAGCGTTTGAACTGGTCGGTACTTATACGGAATAAATTTGTATTTTTTTAAAATCCTTTGAACAGTACCATAACTGAAATTAGAGTCCTTGAGAATATCTGCTATTGAATTCTCACGATAAGCTTCAAAATATCCAATAACTGCAATTTCCGTGGCCTCGCTTATTATGAATTCTTTTTTTGCCCTTGTTTTAGCAAAAACATTTTCGTTGCCCCTAAATTTTCGATAAAGTCTCAGAAAATATCGTTCATACGGTTGAATGCGAGCGGGATATAATTCACTGTAGTATTCTCTTGCCCTCAAGGAGGATTTTCTGCACACTAAATAGCATTCTAACATATCACACTTTTCTTCATGGGAGAACATTTTTCTTTAAATTAATGACACAATAAAGCTTATAAACAAGTATTTACACTAATGTTTGACATTATTTGATTTTATCATTGTTTTCCAAAGCCTTCTAGTTGCGAATATGTCCAGTTTAACAATTTGTCGCTTATCTTAATGCTGTCAAATCGCGAACGCCATGTTGTTTTCATAGCCGTCTTAATATTATAATACTGCAAATAATTAAAAATATTTATCGTTATTTTGACTTTATTTTTGACTTTAGCGGAAAAGTTATTATGAACTTTTTTGTTTAAAATTTGATGCTTTAACAGAAAAAAATATAATATACAGGGGTTTCCATTTAAAAAAATGTTATTTTACTGAAAAAAATCAAAATAACGACTCTCAATTGTTTTTTTTTATTTCTCATTTTTACCAGCGTTAAAAATGCTACTAGTTTGCTAATTCAAACAACTTTGTATTTTCACTAATAACAAAGTTACTAATGGTGGACACTTAATTTGGATAACCCTGTATACCCATTGATACACCCGGGCATCGTAATGCCACTCATAATTTCCACAATACTCATTTGTGGGCAGAAAAAAAACTCTATGCCATAACCGAAACCCATTTCCAACACCAATTTTCGGTTAACGTATGGGCAGGAATTCACTGGACAACAAATTTTAGATTTTTAATTGTATCTTGTGGGAAAAGTGCACTTCTTTGTTAATTTTGGGGCGCTGAATCCAAAAATGACAATGACATAAAAAAATTAGTTGCGGTTTAGAAAATAAACCTTTTATTTTTAAGGATATATTAAAAAAAGTAACAAGATTCATATACTTATAAGAATCACTATATGCGCTGTCTTTTTGCTGTTCTTTTATGGATCGTTTCTGGAGCATCTCTACCAAGAGTCCAACAGTAGTCTGCAAGCATGGAAGGATTCCACTTTCCCTGCTACCTTTTTTCCATTGTTGAAATATCCTGATGAAAACGTTCGCCGTGCTCATCACTTACGGCTCCGCAATTGTCAGGAAAAAAGTCCAGGTGTGAGTGTAGGAAATGTATCTTAAGAGACATATTACAGCCCATCTTTTGATACGATGACAGCATATTTTTGACAAGGGTTTTATAGTTGTCAGCTTTTCTATTTCCCAAGAAATTAGTGACCACCAGACGGAAATCATTCCAAGCAGGTTTTTCAATACCTGTTAAAGTGTTTTCAAACTGTGTATCTTTCAAAATATTTCGAATCTGTGGCCCAACAAAAATACCTTCTTTAACCTTTGCCTCACTTAGTCTTGGAAATTTCTGACGCAGGTATTGAAAAGCTGACCCATCTCTATCTAGTGCCTTGACAAAGTTTTTCATTAGGCCCAACTTGATATGCAGTGGTGGTAATAAAATTTTTTTCGAATCTACTAATGGCATATGCTGTACATTTTTTTGACCTGGCTCTAGGAATTGACGAACAGGCCAGTTTTGTCTGGTGTAATGAAGTGCCTTTGCCCGACTGTCCCATTCACACAAAAAACAGCAAAACTTTGTGTAGCCTAGCTGCAGCCCAAGTAAAAAGTGCAACAACTTTCAAATCGCCACAAATATGCCATTGGTGCTCATCGTATTTTATGCATGTCAATAGGTACTTCATATTGTCATATGATTCTTTCATGTGAACTGCATACCCTACAGGAAGAGATGGTAAAATATTTCCAATATGCAATAACACTGCCTTTAAACTCAATGTTGAACTGTCTATAAACAATCTCCATTCTTCTAGGTTGTAGTTTATATTTAAAGCCGCCAGTAAGCCGTTAATGTTACTGCAGAAAACCAAGTTATTCTCCATATTGAAAAATGGTTCTAAGTCTTTGTGGCGTTTACGACAAACACATACCGAAACATCGTCTTCTAACAAGTTCCACTGCTGCAGTCTTGATCCAAGTAACTCTGCCTTACATTTTGGAAGTTCTAAATCTCTTACAAGATCATTTAATTCTGACTGTGTTATTTTGTGCGGTTGGTGGTATGACGTGCTCGGTATAAAATCAGGATCTCTTGACGTTGATGGCATATCTTCTTCCTGATGAATCACTCGATCGCCATGATCTGATTCGTTTTCTGATTCGCAAGTGTAGGATTCTGGGGGTTTTGGAATAGGATTTTCGTCACTGTGAGGCACAGGTCTCATCGCAGATGGTATGTTTGGGTAGTTAATAACCGATTTTTTTTCTTGGACGTACCTGTGGCTTGTCCAACACAAGGTACCATGCAAAAGTAACAATCATTAATATGATTTGTAGGCTCTCTACAAACCATTGGGACAGCAAAGGGCATAGACCGTTTTTTGCCATTTAACCAGCTCCTCAGACTTGAAGCACATGTATTACAGCAGATGTGGGGTGCCCACTGTTTGTCTTGATTACCTAGTTTACAACCGAAATAAAGCTGATATGCCTTTGTTATTAGTGGAGTAATAGACCGTCTCTGAGACGCAAAAGTCACATCACCACACACGTAACAAAACTGATCTGGATTGTTTACACACTTTCGAGACATCTTGCATGAACGCTGTCAGCCAACTGAGGAAAAAATGGCTAATATAAAACAATATAATGTACACGTATGTATAACGTAACACAATCATGCCGATTACATCATCTTTCCTTGCCGAATATAAAAATGCAGCACGTGCATTCTTGTGAATTACAGTATATTAACACTGTCACAGCAGGAACACATATAATTACCGTATCTCTAAAACTTGAACTAATATTGAAAAAATAAGTTTCATTCCGGTTTTACATTAAAAATAGTAATATTTTGTTGATTTTATTTAGGATATTTTTTGGCTGTTGATCAGTGATTATTAGTAACCACTTTATTGGCCCACTCTACTTGCCGGGACGACTTGACGGACAGACTAACCTCAATTTTCTTCAACAACAGTTGCCTTTGCTCTTTGATGATGTTCC